TGACCCTGTAATGATTTATTTTATTTTATATAACATCGCACATGTGAGTAGTGTTATATATATTCTGCATGAAGCACGCAAGTAAGGAAGAACATGAGAAATATTTTACGCGTATAGTTTGCGATAATCGTTTACTGTATAATCGCCCGTATAGTATCATAATTTGATTTAAAATGATTGCTTATAGAACCAGAGAGAAACGCGGTTAAATATTTGAACAATTTGAAGAAACGCGAACATTTCTTACCTCGAACACAAAGGTATCGACTTCTTCTCTGATATCTGAATCAGTTAGTCCATTCTTGCGAGATTCCGCAATCAAAATATCCAACATGGCCAGTCGTTTCTTTTTAACTTAAACAAATATAAAGTAACTTATATACATTCGTATTATTTTTATAAGACAATTATTCGATATTACATACATACTCCCCATTACTTCCTCGTCATCCATTTCTGTGTCGTTTTCAAAGTTTTTCAAATACCGCCATTTAGTTTGTTCGTGATATATCTTTCTTTCTGCAATAATCTGGGCACAAGAAAAAATATGAAACTAACTGTATGTATTACTATTTCTTAATTGACTCATTAGTACGATCTACTATTTTTTTATTGACACAAGATAAACTTCTCTTAAAAATATAAATAACATGAAGGCGGCTACTCACTTTTCTGGTGAATGAGTGCAAGATGTTGAGATATTTATTATGTGTCCTACCCATTGACGTTAAATTGAATATTGTGTCATTCAAAAGCCATGGTTTGAAAAATCTAAACAGAATTATTCAATTTTAAATAAGTTTAAAAATGAAATTTTATTAATTTTAGATCGCATACGTAGATTTGATTTAAACCAGATGTATTTATAATTTAAAATAAATATTACCTGCTGACCACAAATTTGCCCATATCTTGAACCGTATGACGATATTCTTCGTGAGAAGAACCTGCATCTTGCAATGAAGTGCCCATCGAAGTTTCTGTAAACATAATTGCTGAATTCACATTTCTAATAATAACTTCGTGCTATTACGTATGTGATATTCACCATATTTTACATAATAACGATACAATACAGAAAAGTACAAAACACAACAAATTAACCCGAAAATTTGTAAGTAAAACATTATGCTTTCGGCCGTTCCTTCGTTTGAACAATATTAAAACGCGCTATTGTTAGAAATTTGTGAAATATTAATAAAAATTATTATACATATAATAAACATTTATACCTGATTCATGGGTTCGTTTCTAAAAAAAAAACATGAATTCTTTTGAAAATGAAGAAATAAATAAAATTAGATATATTTACCACATATAGCATTTAATGTATGATGGCTGGTAAAAAGTAGCAAGTTGTTGATAACTGATTCCTCCGTATTATTGAATGATTCCGCTGCGCGATTGCCCTCCTCGATAAAGATCTCAACGAATTGTTTTAATATAGAAAAATGAAATGCGGGCGTTAATATCTTCCGTCTTTCTTTCCACTTTATTCCTATGAATGAGATGCGATAGTATTTTACCGTATATGTAATAATATTATTATTTTATATCGAAAGTAATTTAGACAAGAATAATACATGCCGAATTAGATTGTATGCTATTTATAATTCCATCTAAGTACCTTTGCTCATGAGAAGACCTTCGCCTAACCAAGGTTTCAAAAGTTTGTATTCGAAGCCTTTCACGATATGTTTCGTGCTGTTTAGTATTTTCTAAAACCATGGATGGAACAAAATTAAAAATTATGTTGTTATTACCGACATTTGGAGTTAAAAAATGGAATACAAATATGATACGTTATGGATTATGTATACTATTTTGAGTAAAAACTGTAGACATTTAATCATCGTTAATGAAAATGCTATACGACCATGATGAATTTATTTTCTACGACAATTTCATTACCTCCATGTCGTTTGGATTGCAAATGAAAATGTTGGGTTTACCCAAAGTCCAATATTTCCAAACTGGATAATATGTGCTCGTCCATCCGCGTATAAGATGCCACATTTCTTCTGAAATGTAAAGAATATTAAATATAGTTCTCTAATACTATATGACTATTCTTTTTGGCTAATCTGCTATTTAATCACCATTAATATCTTACATTTCTTATTAAAAGTCTGTTATGGAATTTTGTGTATGATTAGCATTAGTCATTTAATTCTCTGTTATACAGGATAATTAACATATCGGTGAATCATTAAAGATTTACACGAATTTTTAATTACCTGGCGAGCCGTTCCAACCTTGAACATTGCCTAAAATAGGAAGTGTCACTGGTCCTGGTATACGATGAATAAGTCGCCCGTCTCTTCCAAAATGTATAATGTAATGATATAAGAGCGCAAGAAAGAGACACGTTAGTAGTAAGGCGGCAATCATGTTGATTGAAATAATAACCGATTTGACTTCTTTCGGCCTCCTTATTGTCTTTGTGTGCTACGCTACGACATAAGAAATGAAATATTATTTTATGGGAAGCAGTCCGCGATGATCTATAATGTCGAAATGTACGATGTTTTACACACACACACACACACACACACACACACACACACACACACACACACATATATATAATTGCAAATATATACACATTTATAAATGAGGTAAAAATAACTATAACGAAGTAGGTATTGTTTGTAATTATTTTTCCGAGTAATTATTAAATATTACATTAAAACAAGTATCTCTCATGTCAACGAATCTAGTCGACAATATATGATATTTGGAATAAATGAAAACGTATCACTCCGAATCAACACATGTATAATTTTATAATTCACGAGGTTTTAACATCAGAGAACTAGAAGTACATGTGGCAACTTTCGGTACGCGGATATTTCGTATTTGTAGACCATAAATACGTACTTTGTAGCAGAGATCTTCACTATTCTGTTGTCAAATTCTAAATGGCACATATCAGTTTTCTCTGCTACTATATTAAGCGCTTGCTCATGATATTACGTAATTTCCTGTTAACGTTACATAAATTTTCGCATAGCTAAATATGTTATGTAAGAATTCCGAAGTCACATGTAGTTTTTTATGTAATTCTGCAGATCTAAAACGTATGTGCAAAAAGATGTTTGTATTTAAGGTGTCTATTATTCGTTACCTCATGCGTAGTATGTATCTAATTTATGCCAAAGTGGACAAGAAAATACGATGATAGCAGTAATCGTCATTTTATCGTTGGAGTACTGTCCATTGTTTGCGTCTCGCCGCTTCTTATCGTACATGATTATTCCCCTACATTTTCTTTAAAAAAAAATACAAAGAATCGTTAACGCTGTTTGCATAACAAAGTTAATGCTCGCTTTCAACAAAATAATAATTTTGTCCGTTTAAACCATTTTCTCGCTGTAAAACATGTTTTTCTGTTAGTGAATAGTTCAAAGCATATTTTGGTGTAAAATCAACCTCGTTAACGATAATAATTTATTTATTTTTAATATATTTAATATTTGTTTAAACTTTGGCTTTTCCGATTATGACCCTGGTCCATCTAATGCAAGTTTCAAGGGTTTTTTAACAAACTCACTTCGTGCTACATCTATAAATACATATTTATATAATCATAATATTAAATATATATATATAACTGGCACGTAACGTTGGGTATATCTTATTGTTTGCGAATATTATGTGCGACGTTACAACCTACGTTGTAGATAGTCCAATGTCGGTGGACTCGACATTGGACCCCACTTCGATAAAACCGGTTAGAAATAAAACCTGTATTTTATGGATCTATCTAGAAATAAAACACTATGCTATCTTATCGTAATTTGGTGTAGAAGTGAAAGCGTGTCGTTACTTGAGAAACATAATGGATGGATATGCATTCCGGATAAATCAAAGAATCCTGAAATTTGAGAAGAGAGACCATTTTCCGAAAAGCTAGAGTCCCGAAGATTGAATGCCACGACGATGTCTCGATATACAATTCCGCCAAAACATTTAAAGCATGCAATTTTTCCGAAAATCCATAATCCCGAAAACTAAATGCCGTGACGGTTTCTCGAAATTAATAATTTTCCCGAATAATCATAATCTTGATAATTTAATACCAAAATAATTTTCAAATATGTACAATCTCAAATTATATCTCATTTTAGGTTTTCGGAAAACTGTCTCTCTTCTTAAATTTTGGAATGTTTTTTTTTTCGCGACAATGCATGTCCACCGCATAATGAGGTTGATCTACATTTTCAATAAAATAATTTCCTTCTTTTAAAATATTCTTTTCGCTTGTACAAAAACTTATGTTTTTCTTATAATGAATAGTTCAAGGAATACGTTGATGTAAAACCAACTTAATTTATTTATTTTTAATATGTTTAGATATGGTTTAAACTTTAGCGTTCTCATTATGACTCGGGTTTCTCTGGTACAAGTTTCAACAAATTTAAAAAAAATTTTTTTATTTTATGCTACGTTAAATACGTATTATAATCATAATATTAAATAACTATGCATACGTGCATACATATATACACACATGCATATATATATACTTACATACATACATACATATATACATGTGGGATCGAGAAGAACCGCGACTGTCATTATTCGCTGATCGAAGGAGGGCAGCATGAGAGAGGAAGATAAAGACAGATAAATGGAGAGTCTGAGGCCGTGTGCAATTAGCGATCATTTATTGTAATCAACTTTATTTACTGTGTTTATTATTCAAATATATTTTCTTATAAAACTAAAATACCATCTTATATATATGTATATACATTAATTGATCTAATGCAGATACACAGATAATAGAAAGAAATATGAAAGCGTTTAAATATGTGCGTATGTATATATATTTCGTATGTATATTTCGTATGTAAATATTGCGTATGTATATATATTTCAAGTATTATAATATAAAATTACGAACTTTATATCCTTACATTTTCAAAATAAAAATATATATATTTAAATATATATATTTATATATATAATATAGTAAATAATATCGATAGGGTTTTAAATTAATTAAATTAATTAAATTAAATTAATTGTATATTGAAGAAGATATTATGTCCTTCATTTTCAACATTGCAAATCGTTGGTCTGATATATTCATAATTCACGCATTAGATTACTTAGCAGTTTCTCAGGAATTTCTTGATATGTTACTAAAAACTGATCGATTATTCCTTACCAATCAATATTAATATTAAATGACTACGTATGTTTGATTGGAATGACTTTCATGCGAATCGAACGCGTAGTACGTAGTACAAAGTCCACTTTCAATGAGACATCTTTCAAATAATCAATAGGTTCTAAGTGGAAGTTATGCACAAGAGGAGCTATTAGGGCCTTCATCTCCAAGATGGCGAATCGTTGACCTATTAATTCATTAGAACTTATTTGTGGAATAAGAAATTAATATCTTATAAATTACCTATGCAATTTCGTGGCCCCGCGCTGAATGGTAAATAGGAGTAAGAATGACGAGTCTTTATATTCTCTGGTAAGAATCTGTCTGGATTAAATACCTCCGGATTCGGCCAAATCTTAGCATTATGATGAAGATCGTAGATGAGGAGTTGCACCGTTGTGCTTTCTGGCACCAAATATGACTCTGAAAATATCAACGAACATAATAAAGCATATTTTATAAATAGCGCAATGGAAGACATTTAAGAAATAAATATATGTTCGTACATAATTTATTGTGCAAACATGAATATTTTACCATCCACACGAAATAATAGATAAAGTTAAACTCGAACAAATTATCTACTTTTTATATTTAATAGAAAAATTTTTAGAAGTCCTTGTATTTTTGTCATGTATAAGTGTTCTTTTTGTGTTGAAGCATTAAAATACAATCTAATGATATTATATTTATATTCGTACGCAGTTACATTTGATATATGCAGTATATCTTGCTTAAACTGTTTAGGAAGTATTGTTATATACGTAGAGATCTGTTAATTACTTACGTAATTTCACATCTTCGGTACAAACGCGCGATATGATAGGAACACTAGGATACATTCTCATTGATTCTTTTAAGCACATCTCCAAATATGATAGATTCTGCAACGCGTTCATATTAAGTTTCCCGTCATTTTCCTGCATTACGTCACTAATTTCTTTTCTTACGCGATCCTATGTACAAAGGTTTACATTACATCGACATCCATATTGACTGTTATAAATTGAAAATGTCAATACTTATTGAAACTCTCTCTCTCTCTCTCCCTCTCTTCCTCTCTCTCTCTCTCTCTCTCTCTCTCTCTCTCTCTCTCTCTCTCTGTGCGTGCGTGCGCGCGCGTGCGTGTGTGTGTGTGTGTGTGTAAGAGAGATTGCTGTCGTATCATCGATAGATAGCTTATTACAAAAAGGAAAACAATACCTGAATATCTTTATGTTCAGCTAACAATAGTAGATTGAAACATATAGCTATCGCTACAGTATCGTGACCCTGTAAAGATAACAATTTATCTGGATTTGATTTGACAGATTAGCTTACAGCTTATAATAATAAAAAATAAAGCACAACTATATTTTTTAACAGTTTTGAAACTCATATTACCTCATTTACACTTACCTCGAACACAAAGGTATCGACTTCTTCTCTGATGTCCAAATCAGTCAGACCGCTATTACGAGATTCCGCAATCAAAATATCCAACATGGCCATTCGTCTCTTTTTAACTTAAACAATATAAAATAAGTTGTATATAATCATATTATTTTCATAACATAATTCTATTTTAAACTTACTTACTTTTACTCCCTGTTGCTTCCTCATTTTCTGTGTCGTTTTCAAAATATTTCAAATACTGTCCTCCAGTTTGTTCATGATAACGCTTTCTTTCTGCGATAATCTAAGCATAAAAAGAACTATGAAACTGGCGTCACTTGTTGTCACGCTATCAGAAATATTCCTTAATACGTTCATTGTCACGTGCATCGTCTTCAATACACGCTAAATTTAACCTTCACGTTATCTATATTTTTGTTATTAACCCTTTGACATACAATGACGAGTCTGACTCGTCATTCATTTCATGGGACACTGTAGACTTTGACGAGTCTGACTCGTCAAACGCTTTTTTCGGCGGACGCCGTGCAATTTACAATTAGATTACATAGTTGCTTCACTCGTGCGTCGATTCTCGTTTGTTTATAACGTTCGAGATGGCCCAAGAACAAAAAAGCATTATATTGCAGAATATTGCAGAGACATGCTATATAATTTGTCTCTTCCTAACTATCCAAAGCGTGGCAGACCGTCGCAAAATGAATGCCCGACTCGGCTACAGGCCAAACGTTGGGCACATTTTCCGGAACATATTCTCTCGACTGATAAAAAGAAATTACCTACAAAGAGATGCCGCGTGTGCGTAAAAAACAACATAAGAAGTGAAACAACGTGGCAGTGCAAATATTTAGTTCCTTTACATGTTCCAAAATGTTTCAAAATATTCCATACTCTACAGAATTATTAAATTATTATTTTTTAATGTTATTTAGATGTTCTTTGTTAACATCAATCTGATTAATAAAAATCCAAATTTCAAAATAAAATGTACTCTTTCTCAGCTTTCACGTAACTGTTCAGTTGAGCGAAATTAAATAGTATTTTTTGGTTGCATTAAGTTCCATTTAATTTGTATGTCAAGGGGTTAAAAAACAAAGTACATTAAAATTCTCTATTTGTTTTATCTATCTATCTTATTTGTTTTTTCTATCTTATTTGTTCTCTGTTATCATGTTTGTTTCGTTATCACTTTTAAAAATATAAATCGATTTCGGTACGCACAACATAGTAATATGTTTTCAAGTTTTACCCGATTTCAAAACAAACTGAACACATTACATTTTTTCATATAACAAAAATATTAGATTTTTGGATACGAAAAAAAAAACGTTAGATCTAAAATAGAACGGATAACAATATTTTATGAGAATTATCCAGCAACAAATTGTACTTATATATTGATTGTTTCAATAAAATACATTGTATCATCCGATAATAAATGTAAAAGAAGAAATGTTTCAAGAAATCTATATTTTATTTGTTTCATAATAAAATACAGTTTCTAATGTATTCTGTTTTATTCTACAATATCTTGATTGTTATTCTTCAAATATTAACTTTAAAATAAACTTATTTGTACTGTTCAACTATGCTTTTACACTTTGAATATTTACTCTTAAAATCAATAACTTTCCAGTTTACGAAAAAACCATAAACTAAATAATTACAATTTTTTTATTTTACATTTATTAAATTTCCAAATATACTATTTTCGGTATATGAGGCGTGGATTGAAAGTTGCATAAAAACTATCCAATAGGGAACGTGTTAACTGATTTATTTGCTCAAAGTGAAAATTTTTATTTAACAACAAAATCCTTTCTTAACCATTTTAGATATTGATTGCTATTACTCACTTTTGAGGTGAATGAGTGCAGGATGTTCAAATATTCTTTATGTGCGCTACTCAATGACGTAAAACTGAATATTGTGTCATTTAAAAACCAAGGCTTGAATAGCCTAAACATAATTATATAAAATTAAATATATTTAATAATGTAATTTTACTACGTTTAATTGCGCACGTTAATTTCTTTCAACTTATATATATATTCATAAACTAAAATAAAATTAACCTGTTGTAGAAAATTTTACCCATATCGTAAACAGTCTGACGATATTTTTGCTGAAATGGACCACTTTGCAAAGAAGTGCCCATGGAGGTTTCTGCAAATGTAATTGCTGAAGTAATATAAATTTCTAATTACTGGTCACAGATGTTTTAATTACAACAATTTGATATTCTTACACAGGTGATATTCATCATATCTCACGCGATAAAGGTGGAATACAGAAAAGTACGAGGTATAATGAATTTGAATCCGAAAATTTCTAGCTATAACATTATATCTTCTACTGTCTGAGCTTTTAAAAAATTAATGAAATTAATAAATACTGTTATAGATATAATACTGTTATAGATATAATAAACAATTAGTTGACTGGAAACTTGACTCCAAATAGGAATCGCGAATTCTTTTCAACAAGGAACAAGGAATGTATGTATAAAATTAAATGTTTATACCACATATTGCGTTTAATGTATGATAACTGGTAAAAAGCTGCAAATCGTTGATAACTGACTCTTCCGTATCACTGAAAGATTTCGCTGCGCGATTGCCCTCCTCGATCAAGACCTCAACGAATTGTTTCAATATAGAAAAATGAAATGCAGGCGTTAATATCTTTCGTCTTTTTTGCCATTTCATTCCTATAGAAGAAATTAGATAATATTTTACCGACCATATACATATATAAATATTATTTTCGGTTGTTATACTATTGCATTACACATGTTGAATATAAAGAAAACATTCTGAGAATCCGTATCATATCTGAAAGTTAAGCTACTATTTGATAAACATTACGTAAATAATGATAACTTGAACGCGTCTAGTTTGAAACATGTTCAGTAGCGCGATATTTATTTCTTCATGCAAAAGCTTTATGACGTGATTTTATTACTAAAGCTATGAAACGTGGCGTGTTTTCTCGGAAACGACGGAAAATAGCGACAACAATTTAGATAAAATTTACGCGTATCGCAGTTGAATTATACGCTATTATAAATTCCATCGTATAGTACCTGTGCTTATGAGAAGACCATCGCCTAGCCAAGATTGTAGAAGATTATATTGATAACCTTTCACCATGTGCTTCGTGCTGTTTAGAATTTTCTAAAACCAAAGCCGACATAGCCGAATTAAAAATTACATTACCAAATTCTAAAATTTAAAAAGGAAATATAGCATTGTTTGATCTATATGCTGTTCTGAAAACAATCTGAATAAAAGATATAGACATCAGCTTTAGTGATTAATGATGATGTTATACGATGAATAAGATAAAACATCTTCTATGGCAATTCTTACCTCTATATCGTCCGGATGAGAAATGAAAACGTTTGGAATTGCAAAAAGCCATATCTTCATAATTGGATAATATGTTCTTGCTGAATCGCGAAAAATTCGCCACATTTCCTCTGAAATGCGAAGAACATTAAAATGAAGTTCTCTAGTACCAAAGCATTATTTTATTTTCGAAAAACTTATACGATTTGATCATCATTAACAACTTGCATTTCACTAACAAACTGTTACGGAATTTTGTGTATAATTGGAAATACTAATTTAATTGTTTATTGTAGAAATGCCATACAAACCAGTAGCTGATTATGTAAAGATTGATTAAAATTTTTAATTACCTGGCGAATTCCTCCATCCATTAATATTGCCTATAATAGGAAATGACATGGGTCCTGGTATACGGTCGATAAGTCGCCCCTTTCTTCCAAAATGGACGATATAATGATGTAAAAGCACGAGAAAGAAGCATGTTAGTAGTAAAGCAACAATCATTTTTTGTTGAAATAGTGATCGGTTTAATATTATCTCGTCCTCTTTTTGGACCTTGATTGTTACGACACGAGAAAAGTAGTATTATTTTACGGAGAACAGTCCACGATGATCTATATATAGAAATGTATATAATACATGTATATTAAATTGCAAACGTTCATACATATACATTAATAAGTGAGACAAAAGTAACAGAGAGATGCGAAGATATTATAATGTAATTTATATGACTTTAGAAATAAAATTTATTACAACAAATGCGTAATTATTTTTTCGACATTATCTAAGAACTACACTAAAACAAATTTCATTTATAGCAAATATAATTGATTATGACGATATATGGTGTTTAGAAATATTGATAAAGAGAGCGAGTAACTCAAAATGGGGACGCGTGTATAATTTCCTAATTCAGAAAAACACAAGAAAGCACGAAGAACTTACAGCACTGTTCAGTTTATTGATAAAATCGTTCTTGTAGACTTTAAACACACACTTTGCGTCAAAGATCTTTCGTTTTTATGGAAACAAATGTACATCAGTTGGATATGTCCTACTTATATAACCGTATTTCACTATCTCTTATCGCAATTTTTAATTTTATAATGATAACACTTATCAACGTTAATATACCATTGCACCACACTAATCGGTTAAAAATATCGGTTAAAAATAATTTCTTACTGAGATGCGTCCGCGCACCATATATAGCGTGTCATTTAATTTCATTGATATAAAATATAAAATATAGTATAAAATTTCATAGATATAAAATATAAAGTATAGTAAAATATAAAATAATTTCGTATATATAAAATATAAAATATATTCATAGATATAAAATATAAAATATAAAATATAGGTGTAAATATATACATAGTGTCCGGAAAGTTTTAACAGAGCGCTCGTGTGCATGTTAATAAAACTGATTAAACTGGGTAAGGAAAGTCATATGCCATTTTGTAAAATTCGCAATAGTTCATGGGGAATCAATTACTCTTTATGAGCTAATGAGCGCATAGGAAACAGTAGGCCGGATGTGTATTTCTTCTTGCAGAATCCGTACTCGCTTCAAGTGGTTTATACTAGGACAAATTTTACATGCATCGGGTGCTTATATCAAAGCGCGAAATCAGGAATTGTGTGCACGCCCTTTAGATAACCGATAGGTTCCAAGTAGAAAATATACACAAGAGATATACACAATATACATCATTCACTTTTAACATGCATACCGGACGTTTCTCAGAAATTGTTTGATATATTACTAAAATCTAATCGATTCTTTTTTTTACGAATCAGTATTCCCATTAGATAACTACGTGCGTTTGATTGGAATGATTTTCATGCGAATCGGACGTGCAATACGTAATACAAAATCCAGCGTCAATGGGATATCCTTCAAAAAATCAACGGGCTCCAAGTAGAAATTGTACACCAGAGGAGCTACTAGAGCTTTCAACTCCAACATGGCGAATCGTTGACCTGTAGATCATAAACTCAGTAAAATTTATTCACGGAATAAGAAATTAATATCTTACAAATTACCAATGCAATTTCGTGGCCCCGCGCTGAATGGTAAATAGGAGTAAGGATGACGATTCCTTATATTCTCTGGTAAGAATCTGTCTGGATTAAATACCTCCGGATTCGGCCAAATATTAGCATTATGATGAAGATCGTAGATAAAGAGATGCACCGTTGTGCCTTTTGGCACCAAATATGAATCTGAAAATACCAATGAATATAATAAATCATATTATATAAATAACAATGAGAAAGATTTTAAGAACAAATTGGATACACATGAAAATTTTTCCATACTAGTGAGATAATAGATAATGTTGAAATCGAGTTAATAACACGAGTTGAAAACATTTTCATTTTTTTTTTAATGTTATAATATAATATTATCATAAAGTAAATAAAAAAATATACATATACACACACAGGCACGCACGTGCATTTTTTTGCGTTTTCTACTTAAATTGTGCAGAAAATATTGTAATATGTATAGATGTCTATTAATTACTCACGTAATTTGACATCTTCGGTACATACACGTGATATATAATGTACGCTAGGATATATTCTTAATGACTCCTTTAAGCATCTTTCCAAATATGACAAATTTTGTAAAGCATCCATGTTAAGTTTCCCATTATTTTTCTCCATCACCTCATTAACTTCTTTCCTAACACGATCCTATGAACAAATGTTTATATATTACATGCAGATTATTGACTGATAATTAACTTATTGACTTATAATTAAATCAAAAGCATCAATATTCTTGCATTACTAAAACAATTTATCTTAATCAGAATTACTATAGAAAATAGATGGCGTACAATTTCTTCCAAGCTTACAGTTACCGCCAATTATTTGATAAAAGTAATTGTACTAAGAAATATTTGTATATTAATATAAAAACAGTTTTATGTACTCTGCTGTCAGGAGCAGCGAGGGAGTGGAAGAAGTTCGCGGACACTAATTCCTTGGAGTGGCGTATATGTGTGGAATGTTTGTAAATATTTTTTTGTTACATATGTATGTGACATGTTATTGTTGTAATCTTTCTTTATCTTTTCAACTTCTGAGGAAAATATGGAACATTTTAAGAGTTATCTAGCGAACTTACACTTGAAACACTATAGAAACTAATCAACAGAATGCCAAGGATAGTAAAATGTTAGTGTTATTAAGGCCAAATGTAAATTCTTTGATAAGAAGAATGTATAATATAAAAGAATGGAAATCCTATGTTACACTAATCGAACTTCTATATATTTAAGTTAAAATATTGTTTTTATTTTTGTTTTGACTGCTCTCAACAAATATTTTCATTATTAAAACTATTTGCTCATTGCATGCACAGGTAACCGGAAACTTGTCAACGGTAGTGTAGTTGTGTGAAACTATTAATTGGTAAATTATTATTGATGAATATCATTACAAGAAAAGGAAAATAATACCTGGATATCCTTATGCTCAGCTAATAGTAGTAAACTGAAACATGCAGCTATCGCTACGGTGTCATGACCCTATAATGATATGAATTTTTCTAGATTTGATTTGACAGATTAGCTTACAGTTTATAATAATAAAAAAAAGCACAACTACATTTTTGAACAGTTTTGAAACTCGTCATATTACGTCGTTTACACTTACCTCGAACACAAAGGTATCGACTTCTTCCCTGATGTCTAAATCAGTCAGACCGCTATTACGAGATTCCGCAATCAAAATATCCAACATGGCCATTCGTCTCTTTTTAACTTAAACAAATATAAAATAACTTATATGCAATTGTATTATTTTCATAAGATAATTGATCTATACTTCGGACATACTCCCTATTACTTCCTCGTCTTCTGTTCCTACGTCGTTTTCAAAGTGTTTCAAGTATCGTCCTTCAGTTTGTTTGTGATAACGCTTTCTTTCTGCGATAATCTAAACATAAAAATAAATATGAAACAGGCGTTGCTTATGTCGCCACATTGTCAGGAATATTTTCTAATACGTTCCCTGCCACGTGTACCGTTTTTGATGCAGACTAAACTTAATCTCCATTATAACTAATATTTTTGTCATTGAAGGACAAAATACAGTAAAAATAACTTATTTTATAATTCATGCTTACTCTGTTATTATATTTGCAGCACTTTCATGAATCGATTTCGACATACACGACGTAGTAATAAATATTCAAGTCTTATGGTCTGATTTCAAAACAAATTGGTACCAATACAATATTGCATTTCTTAATAACGAAAATCTTAGAATTTTGGGAACAGATAATGCTAGAATTAAAACAAACGATGTAACAATATTTTACGAGGATAATGTAACAGATAGTACTTACGTATAGATGTAATAAAATGTTATAATAAAATACATAGTGCCATTTGATATAAACGCGAAATATTCAAAAAGTTATATTTTATTTATTTCATAATAAGCTTTTGTTTTTTTAATGTCTTCTGTTTTATTCTATATTTTATTCGTTATCCTTCTGTTCTTAACTTTGAAATAAGCTTATTAATTTTATTCTAATGTGTATTTTATATTTTTAATATTTACTTTTACTAAATAATTCTAACACATTTATCAAGTTGCATCTCATGTGTCGCTTTCGCTACACGCGGCATGAATTGAAAGTCCGATAAGGAACGTGTTGACTTATTAATACACGCGAACTGATCATTTTTATTTATACAAGAGGAACTTTTCTTAAAACTGTTTAAATGACATGATTGCGACTACTCACTTTTGTGGTGAATGAGTGTAAGGTGTTCAAATATTTCCTATTTAAGATACTCGTTGGTGTTATATTGAATATTATGTCACTTAATAACCACGGCTTGAACATCCTAATCATGATAACACAAAATAAAATATGTTTAAGAATGTAATCTTATTACATGTAAATTGTGTACGTTGATTTTCATTCGACATAATCGTATTTATAAATTAAAATAAAAATAACCTGTAGATTAAAATTTTGCCTATGTTGTGAACAGTTTGTCGATATTTTTGCTGAAACGGACCAAAATCTTCCAAAGAAATGCCCATGGAGGTTTCTGCAAATGTAATTGCTGAAGTAAGGTAAATTCCTGCTAGTCGTAATACTTCGATCACAATAATTTGATATTATCATACAAGTGATATTCACCATATTTACGTGATAACGATAAAATACAGAAAAATATATGAACAAATTTAAACCCGAAAACTTCTTACTAAACATTATATTTTTTATTGTTTTCCTTTTCAACAACATTAAATCGTGCCAATTTCAGAAATTGGTGAAATTATTATAAATTATTATAGATATAACAGACTTATAATTTACTCAAAACTTTGTGCCAAATAAAAGGCGTGTATTCTTATAAAAAAGAAAAAAATGTATATATAAAATTATACGTATATACCACATATTGCGTTCAATGTATGATGACCAGTAAAAAATAGCACGTCGTCGATAACTGTCTCTTCTATATGATTAAAAGACTTCGCTGCATTATTTCCTTCTTTGATCAAGACTTCAACGAATTGTTTCAATATAGAAAAGTGGAATGCAGGCGTTAATATCTTCCGTCTTTTTTGCCACTTCGTTCCTAAAAGAAAATATAAGATGATATTTCCCCGTACATAGGGAAAAGTGATTGACAATTTTAGAATTTATTTCTATTTTAAACTGTTTCTTAATACAATACTGGCTTGTAGAATTCGTCTTTCTTAGTAAAGATTTGTCAAGTTTCTACGCTACAAAAATACAAGGTTATATAAGAAAAATAAAATATATCCTGCTCAAAATAAAATATCAAATTAAATTAATAAATATCACAGTAATTGGCAATCATGTCATAATGATTGGCATATTTGTTACAATAAAATTAGCACTCATTAGAAATATGTTAAATAAATGTCACAGCTAATGATCACAGTTAATGATTGATACTTAATATCTAAATTACATTGTCAAATTTATTAGATAAATATATCTACACCAATGTATCGACAGCTTCGGATTGCAACTTAATGAATTAATCAACTTAACTGATTGCTCTTTAATATTTTACTGTTTTCCTTATCATCACAGCACATTCGACAATAATATTTAGTCTGTTTTATGTTTAAATATACTGATATGCTAATCATGCATATGTAAAATATTATGCACATAAAAAATTGATTTTTTCGTTGTGTTACCGCGTAGCACGTGTGAATGAAATAAGCATTCCGAAAATTCATATCATGTCAGGTCAAGGTTCAGCAACTTTTCCCTGATAAAAATAATGTAACTGTAATAAACTCTATAATTGTTATTAGAATTAACTCTTGTAGTTGTAAATGCGCGTTGTGGCGCAATATTGACTTCTTCTAAACAAAAATTTTATCACGTCCTTTCATTACATTCTAAAGTTTTGCGATTTGTTTTCTTGGAGACTACCGGAAAGAGCGACAATAATTTAGATATGTCGAAGTTGAATTATGCACTATTCTTAATTCTATTATATATTACCTTTGCTAGTGAGAAGGCCATCGCCTAACCAAGGATGTAAAAGTCTGTAATTATATCCTTTCACATTGTGCTTTGTGTTGTTTAATATTTTCTAAAACCATATACGATAAAGAAGTAAAGATCACGTCATTTTTATCAAATTATAAAATAAAAAATAATAATGTAGCACGTTTAGAGATACGTGTACGAATATGTTAGTAGAAATTATAGACAAAGATTTTAGTCATCGTTAATGAAAATGCTGTACGGCGAATAAGATGAATTAATTTTTTGTAACAACTCTACCTCCACGTCGTCCGGATCGGTAATGGAAACGTTAGGAATCGTAAAAATCCAGTATCTACAAATTGGGTACTTGTTTAAATAATTGCGCATAAGGCACCAAAGTTCTTCTGAAATGTAAAGAATATTAAAATGGGATTTTTTAATACTATAGTAATATTCTCTTTTCCACAAACCAGTATACGGTTTGATTACCATTAATAACTTGCATGTCACTAATAAACTGTAACGGAATTTTATGCATAATTAGGAATACTCATTCAATTTTTCATTATAGAAATGAGAAACAAACCAACAGCATATTATTTAAAGATTTATACACATTTTTAATTACCTGCCGATTGGCTCCAAAATATGTGGATATTGCCTATGATAGGAAGTGTTGTAGGTCCTGGTATATGATCAATAAGTCGTCCCTTTTTTCCAAAACGGACGATGTAATGATGTAAAAGCGCGAGGAAGAAGCATGTTAATATTGAAGCGACAATCATTTGGTTGTTGAAGTAATGGCTGGTTTAAAACTTTTTTCGTCCTCCTTCTAACTCTTGAGTGTTACACTACGACACGAGAAATGAAGTATTGCTTTATGAAATAGTACACACGATCATCTCTATGCAGAAATAAACACAGGATGTTTAATTTTATATGATACAATCCTATTATCTTGAAAATAAAGTTTCTTCGGAACAAAATATTCCATATAAAATTTGTACGGTTTTAAGTAGTGTATTAAAATGAGAATTTAAGCTGTAAGCTTTAAGAAATTGACCGTCGAATGTGAGAAGAATTTTTAACTGCACAACGGTCAGGAACATTACAAAGTGAAACCATCAATGATCGATATGTAAAGACGAAATTATACTAGAATGTGATATCATTAATTATCCTCAACGCAAGAGACGAATGAAATTGTAACGACAACGATACATGCACGCGGTAACTATCAACCGTTGTTGTTCCGACGCTCGGCAATTCATTGCTCGCGAAAATTTGAAACGACCGGAGTAGCGACGCAAAATAAATATGCGAAGGCGCTCATGGATTCCCCACACGACTCGCAACGAAAGATTTTCTCTCTCACACACACACACATCTGTAACTGAATAATAACATCTTATCCCTCTTGCTATGGACTTTGCTTCTCTTCAGGCTACAAACACTTCATTTTTTAATATCTAATCTATCTATTTTAATATCTAATTGTCTTCTCCGCACGTTCTTGCTTATCTTTTACTACGCAGTGTGCGCGATTCCCGTCTGTGATTAATCTTCGCGCCCCTCGCGAATTTTTTCTGACCGCTCAAAATTGGTAGCGGCTCGGCGACGACTTTATTGACGGCTTCTTTAGTACTCCGAATTACCAAAATTCTCCGGTAATCGAAATTGCTCTTCGTATAACGATCGACTTGGCAATTCCTAGGCCCAGGCTTCGGTTTTCACACGCACTCAAACAATATCGTATCCTGCAACCAATAATAAAAAAAGACGAAATGCTGCAAAATTTACAAAAAAGAACTCCGGCCGGCATCTTTCTGGACAGAGGAGGCATGAGGTGTGTTGGCTTTCCTTCCCGGTCGTAACGTTTTAAATTTTAACGATAGATTTTTATTAAGTTTAAATTAATCCTTACTGTTAGGAATAATCAGAAGGTTATTGGCTTTTTCCTGAGTTAAATATAACCTATTAATCTCAGATAAGTAAAATTACTTATTCATCATAGATAATCTTTTTTTTCTCAAGTCGCACGCAACATCACAACACTAGTCAGTCACAGAACGGTTGTAACACTTTAAGAAATGACAAATTTTTAATAGCTTGAATGTTCGCGTTAACGCAGCATAGATAGCCTATCTGGAGTTTTCATACCGAGCTTTCGATTAAGATATTTTAGCAGCTAAAATTGTAATAAATAATGTAATAACATTTTTCTTATGTAATGTTAATGCAAGCTTTTGATTGCAAATAAGTTAGCAAAAACTTCTTCTTATATCATGTGGCAATCTGATTAAGATTGGTACAGTCAATCGTGAGATCTCAAAATCTTACTCACGGAAAAGATAATTTCTCCTCGCCTAGCGAGTTCAATTTCTCATATCACACGTATATACGCACACACGCAAAGTGAGTGTCTCAAATTGCATTTGTAACTTTCACGTATATATATGTTTAGATATTTGTAAGGTAGATAAACATAAGTACGCATATGTTTCTCGATACATTTTTAAGTGGTTCCGTAACGGCTGTTCAATATACACATTTGAATGTGTGTGATGTAGATGTATTCGATAAAGCTGACTTACCGAAGGCCTTTTCCAATATTTTTAACGACTCAGCTACAAGAAATGGCAACACAAAATTTGAGGCAAGCACTTTGTTCGCTAGCACTTCTTACTTATTCCCGTATTACTGAGTAATTTGATCATCAATGCGCGTTAAGCACGTCTTATATAGTCGTATTAATATATAAGTATTAATGCCGTATAATATGTATATATTACACCGTTCTACAACACCATAAAGTAATGATCAGTCGATTATTCTTGAACTTTGAATCCAATTAACAAATTAGCTGACTACGTTTTACTGTATCGCTATTTTATGCAAGAATATATTTTAGGGTAGAATAGCTTTAGTAAGCACGTACAACACAGCGGGGATCGACGTGTTTTAACAGCCATTCGCATTTAACAGATCACATTTAAAGATGTGTAATTTATACGCTAATAACTGCGAATCGAAATAAAAAACTAATTGTATCAGAATTTTTAGACAACCAATTAGCACCATGCAAGAGAGGCTTTAACATTTTGATACTTCACGAGATATCTGATAAAACGACTTATTTTTATAAGTGGATCGTTGTATCATGTTAATCGGTTAAAAATCATTTTTGAATCGGATACTTACGTGCATATTATATCTATACTGTCATCTTATTTTGTTGACGTAAGACGTTCGTGCAAATATATGTATGTAGTATTTTTATTAAGTGTTCACTATAATGGCGGTCCGTGGTGTAGATATAATGGAATTTATTCTGTACTATGAAGAATATTTTGGATATATTTCGAATAACAGATATACGCACAAAAATAAAACTTATTAAATAAACTAGAACGAATGTATATTTTAACTTCTCTATACAATCCGCAAAACTTCTTATCAATAGAGATACACATAAGTCTTCATTTTGCAAATATATTTACGCTTCGCTGTTCTATTTTCAAATCCCGTCTATCTTGTTTTGCACATATTTTCTTCTACATAATCTCCGACGCATGCCCCTTTGTATTAATACGCTGCGATGTAATGGGTACAAAGATAACACTTGATCAAGGACTTATAGTTTCGCAAAAAATTCCAGTTCCACAAGGCAAGGTTTACAGTACGCATACATTACAATACTTAACGCACACGTTACTATTTATATTCCTTACAGTATATGCAGGATTTCCAAAATCAACATGAACACAACTTGTGAAGACGTAGAATGGATTGAGTCCTCTA